TCTCCTACACAAAGATTTTCTTGACCCTCCGTAATCTTCAAAATCAAGTTCAACAAAATGTTCAACAACCAAACCAAACAAATCAACTGAACATAGCGCGATATAAAAAGGCAGTGTCTACTGCAATATTGCTGCAACTGACGCTGGTCGCTTGTTATCTACCCTATGTTGTAACGTCGGCTTTGGCGACTAGTGGTGGACGATCTTTATCTGTTTATACCGCTTGGCATTATACAGTCACTTCAGTTTTCTTAAACTCTTCGTTAAACCCGATTCTTTACTGTTGGAAGATAGAAGAAGTTAGACAAGCAGTTAAGAACACAATCAGACAACTGTCTTGCCATTTTATTTGAATTTAGCTCTGACTTGTGACGAAGAATGATGTTCAAGACTAAGATTTTAAGCGCTTCTTGAGCATTGCCTTAATTTAAAAATGGTGCTTACTCATTTTAATATATCAGTGTGAAATGTTTCTTTTGCAAGAAGATAGCCGTGGGAAAGTTTTCATCATTGTTGTAAATTTAAAAAAAAATGTTTCAAATGACGACTTATCATTTTACAGCTGTAAATAGATATCGAAAACAATAAATTTCCATTTTTCTTCGTGTGGCCTGCATCATGTATAGAATACTCTGGTGTTTGAAGGATTCATCTTAAGTTCCAAAAGCCAACAAATATTCTCAANATCGAAAACAATAAATTTCCATTTTTCTTCGTGTGGACTACATCATGTATAGAATACTCTGGTGTTTGAAGGATTCATCTTAAGTTCCAAAAGCCAACAAATATTCTCAAAATGACTTATTATACATTCAGTTATAGAATAAAACAAAGGTGCAGTGCGACACGTAGTTAACACTCGATCTGGCGGTATTTCCTTGAAAATTATGGCTCAGTCTTCATTGAGGTTTTAGCTGAATTTTATATGTCTAAAACATACAAATTGAGATGAGTGCGTTATTCTGACACGAACGTCGTTTACGAAGTAAAACAGAAACTATGCATTTAATTTTTACAATCATGTAACAAACCGTCTCGACTTCAGCAATATTCTAGTCTGTGTTTCTATGATTCGTCTTTAGTTCCAAAACTCGACGAATATTCACAAAATGGTTGCTGAAACATTTATAGAAGAAAACATGGGTAGAGTGGAATACGTATTTATCACTCAGGCGAAAATTGTTCGAAAATTATGACTCAACTCTTTATTGAGGTTTGAGCTGAATTATTTTTAATTTGGAACATGAAAGTTTTTGCAATTTTGTTTTTTAGATGGCGTATGTTTCTGCAGCTGTGAGGGCAAAATGAAATTAGAATGGACAGCTGGGATGTGCTTTATGTGAAGCAGTATTCTATAATGAACATAAAATTTCGAAGCTTCGCTTTAGTGAGTGATTGAACTTATGCCAGTTGAAAATTCGGGAATCGATTTGAGGTAAGCGTGACGGGCATTCTTGTTACACTTCTCAAACCGTGCCATTTTAAACAATGGTTTCTCATGTAAAATATCTTTGTTTCGAGACAGCTCGTCTGTCTTTAATATAAATTGAATCGTTTGTTGATTGAACGAAGCTCGACTGTTAGCTAAATATGGACTTACCATACGTCTGTGGTGTATTAGGCCAAAAAGAAGATAAATGCGTTGCAGAAAAATGGCGATAAAGTTAATTGTTGGAATGGAAAACAGAAAATATTTTTGCCACAAATTTGGTCATTTCACGAAAAACGGAAAAGGTTTAGAACTTCTACGTTAGTTAGGCTCATATTTCGTGGTATAAATGTTTATTTGGCATGGAAGTTAATTCTAAATAACGCGAGGAAAAAAAAAAGACTTAATATTAATAAGTCATTTTCAAAGAGAAAACTGAAGTTATTAGGTTTAAACATGTACGAGTGATAAATAAAAAGTCCTATATTTTTCCCAAACATTTTTTCGAGAGACACGGCTATAAGTTTCGCTAGTCAAAGAATCCACTTCCATCCGTGTCATTGGTATAAACATAAAATGCCGCGAATCATCAACTGTTAAATTCAGAGCGATGGTGGGCGATCGAAAGATCGAGATGAGCCACCTTCGGCTGAGTAGAATCGAGCCATT